ACCCATCAGAACTATCTTGATGCACATTAATCCAAAACTGTGTATTTCCAAGTTTCCATTTCCATAGTAATTAAACTCTTCAAGAGGGCTACACTTCCATCAGTGCTATTCTTCTATCATACCACCAAACACTCTTGACTCACACTAGAAAATAAAATCACTAATGGTTTTCTAAGGAGCCTGAACAATGTCAAAATGAGGTATGACCTAGATATTGTCCCTCCATGTTCGAAATCAGTTGTTTGGAAATACTCTCCGACAGCGGAAACCCCAGAAGGTGCTGACGGAAAGGATGATAAGTGGAATTATATATTCTGGAGGGGCATGAAACAGGAGTGAGATGGTTTGAATCAAGTTCAAGTTTCAAGCCAACAGAAAGCAGCTATTGCAGATGTTGATATGAAACACATTGAAATCCAGATCTGTAAGGTGTTACAGGGAGAGGAAGAGTAAATCTTCTTACGTGTGCAAGGACACTTACTGAAGCTCTGCTTTCTTCCCTAAAAATCACCTTCTGGCTTCAGTGAGCCATCCTGGTCACAAGGAGTATTCATCTCCTTGGGAATCACTGTATTGGTGGTGGCAAACACTTATAACTTCCCAGGGGATACAGCACATATTTTTAAAAGGAAAACTGTTGCATTGTCTGCCAGTTGGAGAACTCTTCTCTGAGTGTCTTTCATTTTATCATTTCCTCAGAAATAAACTGATCATATTATAAGCATTCTAAGAGAAGGCTTACAAAGCCACTTTGTGGCTGTTCTACCACCAGCCAAAGTTTATTTTCTTACTTCTCGGTCTGGTACTAATGTTTAAGTTACAGACTACACAGACCTATCAACAGATCTTACTTATTTAAATATTCATTCTTAACACTGTCCACAGTTGATTTTCTCCTCTCATCATGCTAAGAAAAATGACTTCTTTTTCTTTTCTAATGGGTTTCTCTCCTCTTTTCTCTGTTATTGACTAACTGGAATATTTGGACCTCTATACATTTTCTACGTTGTGGTTGACCTGGTTGTTTTTCCTTTGAATTCATCAATGCTTTTGTGATTGTTATTAGCATATATTTGTCTTAACAGAAAGCAAGACCAAAAAAAATGAAACAGAAAGAAAACAAAAAGGTTTTGCTTTTTTGGTCACAAAGACAATTTCTAAAATGCTAGTATTTGCATTGATCGAGATATCTGACTAACTCTACCTTTTAGATGAGAAGCACCTAAGTCTTTCTCCCTATGTTTTCTCACTAGTTCCTATACCTGGAAAATAGTGGTAATGGGGTTTTTTTTATAATCATAGAAGAATGGATATATTTTTTGAGACACGGTTTTAACTTACAAATTTCTCCTGACTGCCAGTTGAATTAATGTGGGTTTATGTGTTTGTAATTCTTAGTATTTCCCACAGCTCCTCCAATCTCAAAGCTAAACAAGGAATTGGCTCTACCTTTCACTCGACTCAGTTTCTGGCAATAGGTAGTACATGTGTATTTTGCAGAACTTCTCATACTTAGGGTATTTTTAATCACTTCATTATCTGTGAGCTCTCAAGTAGTGATGTATCATTACAACAACCTCGTTACAAAGGGAAGGATTATTTCACTCTGTACTTTTGATGGGAGGCTATTTGGTTATTGTCATGAAGTAGCTGGAACTGAACACAAGTTTTTCTGTGGTACCTTGAACTCTATGTTTCAAACTGCCTTGATGATCATAGAATTCAGAACCTGTGTTAGTCACGTCTATCAATTTGTCATATATCAACTCAGTTTAGCACCTCAGTTTTAACACATTTGAAGGGTTGATTTAGGATAGGCATTGCCCATTACTGAGTATTGAAGACTAATGCAAAGGGTTCTCTGGATTATCCTCATCTTCTGATCTTCTAATATTTTAACCTACTCACTTATTTTGATATTTTTTTCTACTGCTAGCAATATCCAAGTAGTAGATTTCTATCTTAAGATGCACTTGAGACAAGAAAAATCAGGGTTATGTTTGAGAACAACTTTGATTATGCAGTAGTTTTCTACAGGACAAGAGGGCAAAGCCTCAAACTGCACAAGGGGAGGTTCGGGTTGGACATCAGGAGGAATTTCTTCACTGAAAGGGTGATTACACATAGGAATGGACTTCCCAAGGAGATGGTGGAGTGGCCATCCCTGGAGTGTTCAAGAAATGACTGGACATGGCACTTAGTGCCACGATCTAGTTGGCATGGTGGCAATTGGTCCAAAGTTGGACTTGATGATCTTGGAGGTCTTTTCCAACCTTTATGATTCTACAAAGATCAAAAGAGGTCAAACCCTGAACATTCATGTGACATTTATTATCTAAAACAGAAGAATAGTGTTGAAAACTTGCAGCAGCTTACAAATGACCACTAGCAGAAGAAGGTTGGGTTCTGCATGAAGTTATGGATTTCCAGCAAGGGACTACCACCAGGAATGATAATTTTGTTCTTTCACACTGCCCCAGCCATGGAAGGTTGTCGTTGCCAATTTCTGAGTCTTCAAGGGGCAACCTCTCACAGGGCTTTGTTAATAAGTAATGAATTTCAAAGACATGACAAATTGATAGTTTGATGATTTTATTTATACCTGATGTTCATAGTCCACCTGTAGCATAGAATCACAGAATCATGGAATTTAAGGGTTGGAATGGACCTTACAGATCATCTAGTCCCAACCCCCTGCCCTAGGCAGGGACATCTCCCACCAGAGCAGGTTGCTCAAGGCTCATCCAACCTGGCTGTGAACACTGCCAGGGTTGGGGCAGCCACAGCCTCCCTGGGCAACCTGGGCCAGTGTCTCACCACTCTTGCAGTAAAAAACGTTTTTTAAATTTCCTCTCCTTCAGTTTGAACCCGTTACCCCTTGTCCTATCATTGCAGTTCCAGCATCTTTATTTTGTGTTCCAGAGAGCTGACTGTGCTAGGGTGTACACGTGTGTTTGTTGTATCAGTGTGATGGACACTGTGAGGAAGTCATGAAAAGAAGCAACAAAATATTAGCATGCAAAATATATTAGCCTGTGAATACCAATATTTTGTTAATAAAACTTTGCATTATCATTTACCAAAGACAAGAAATTTTAAAGCTGTTTACACATGCACCATGAGCTTAGCATGAAATAGTCAGTAGAGCTGCAATGCTCTTTTGTGGGCGTAACTCTATCTTTCCCTTAAAAGCCTGCAATGGTGTGAGACTGAAAAACAGCAAAACTCAAAACTCTGCCTTAATGAAAATTATCCCATGTTTCTAAAATGTGTTACCAAAAACTGTATCCCTTTGCCACAGTCTGTTTAATTTCAACTGTGTGCCAATTTACAAAAGTATTTTATAGTTTTCTGGTTACTTTCATCAGTAACCAAACACAGTCTTGACCCTTTTCCATGCATGAAAACAGCCAACCATGAGTGCAGCAATGGGAGGTCTGGCCTTTCAGGTATGTCAGCTGAAGACCACCCTACTGGAAGAGGTAACAAGAACAAAAAGCTGAGGTCAAACAAGGCAGCCCCATGTAATTAGATACTAATAGTGGATTTAGGGTGTAAAATTCACTTAAAACCATACACCAACAGACTAAACAATCCCAGTAAGAATGGCAAGTTTTGTCCTAAAAAAATGTTTTTAATACCAGAAAGCATAAATAAAACATACATAATAACCTTGACTGACAGACTGCACTAACCTGCAGTAACATCTGCTTCCAAATTATTTGCTACAGTTGTGTGATAGTAGAATTAAAAAGCACTGGAACTCTACTGTAACTTATAGTGCAGCATACATCCAGTTCCATGAACTGAGTGTTGCATCCACTGACTGTCCCAAAAACAATCTGTAGAATTTAAGTTCTGACAAGAAAATAAATTCCTCTCTTAAGCAGTCAACAGCCAAACCAGAGGTACAAAGCTCGCTGTATCTGATTCTAATGGAGAAACATGCTGAAGGAGATGCTGAACAAATAGGCAGCTGCTTTTGCAGGGTATGATGGGGGTCAAAGTAATTACCTGATGAACTTCATTTCTGTTGGCTGTTTCATTTTGTGTTAATTTCTGATACTTTTGCAGGGTGGATGTGCTACCTTTACACACCACAGACTTGGTCTGATGCAGCAGGAAGATCCATCATGAAGAAAATGCTATTCCTCCATCTAAAGTGAGTATCTGCTAGTCATCAGCTCTTATTGCTGTTGCGGCACCTGGCTCATGTTGGGAACTGGCTTTGTGCAGTCTTTCCAGTTTCCCTAATATTTTCATAGCTCTAACTGCTCTGCAAATATCACATCTAAAGGAACTTTGATAATTTTCATTTATCCTCATTTTACAACTGGTAGTCAAAATAATTAGACCAATCCTATTAATTTTGTGTCTTATAAATCACTTGAGTGGGATTTATAAGCCTTTTGGAAGCTTTAACAGCTGTTAAAGAATTTGGTTTATTTCTGGCACACAGTCCAAGGGCAGAGGATTTCCTTCCTTGGTGCTCCAAACCTGCCCAGGGAGAGACAGGTAAATGCAGGGGTATGGAAGGATGTTGAAAACTACTATGCAGTGACAACTCACACCCACGGAGGACTGAGTCATCTGTGTTATACTCTCCATTGGTTGTATCTCCTATACAACAGAAAAGATCATAGAATTATAGAATCAATTGGGCTGGAAGAGACCAACCCTAAAATTCTATGATTCTATGAATATGCATCTAGGTGGGAAAGTGGCCAGAGTTTAGCATGATGTCAAGGCATAAAAATTCCCTGAAGTTAGTGTTGGTTGCTTCCCTGTTGCTCTGACATTCACTTTGTAGGAGACAGCGAGTCCATTCTGCTTGCTGCTGCTGGTACATTAGCTTTTGGGAAACCTCTTGCATCGAGAACTTCCATTTTCATTGAATGTCAGTATTGCATAATTCAGCCACATGGAAAGAACTGCAGTTACCTTTCAGTTTCTAATTTGTTGAAGGAAAGGCTGATCCTAAAGAGAAATGCAGTGCTCACCTTTTTGGGTCAACGATCTTGTAGAGTTTTCCGCTGTGAGGCTGTGTCATGCTTTTACTGCTTGATAATATGTAAATCTCACCTGATAGAGAAACCAATGCAATAAATTAGTTCTCCTTTCCTAAGATGTCGAGTGCATGACTTATGTGATCTAGCAGTATTTGCCAAATGAGACTAAAAAACACTTCAGAAGAAACACTTGTCACTGAAATATACAACAGAATCACAGCTATTGGAAAAGTTATGTAAGCACTTTCCCCAAATTGGTGCTAAAATGTGAAAAATATTCTAGCATGAGTGTTTTTTTCTTTCATATAGTATAGAATTGGTGGGGAAAAAATAAAATTCAGGAGGAAGGGAGAAGAGGGGGATCTGCTCATGAAATAAAGTCTGGAATGCTGGGAATAAAAACAAGTATATTACACATAGTGTCACAGTGAGTGACACAGTTCATGGGTTGTGAGAGACAGTAAGGAACTTTGGGCCTTCTAGCAACCCATTCTCTTCTTGGTTCTTTCAAGGCTGCTGAGGTGTAGATGAGAGCAGTGCAGACAGCTTTGGCAAAGGAAAGTTTGCCTCCTTTTTAAACATTTATTGGCATTGGGAATACTTCAGCAGGCAGTACTGATAAACCTTAAGATTTAAGAACTTTTTTTTTAGTATTTACCTAATTCATCTTCACCAAATCCCAAGACAGGTCCTGAAAAGAATCCTCTACATGAGCCAGTGTTGCCAAGACAGAGAGGTTTCTCTTGCCACTGTTTGGTTGCAGGACTCTGTTGCAATGTTAAAAAATTTCTGTATTCAAAAACACACAAAACAAATTGTTTTATTACATTTTGAATAGTTTTCATTGCCCAGATAAATAAGTAAACACTTGTTGCAAGTAGCTCTGTAGATAATCTGTGCAGTTGATTATCTTATAATTTCCTGCCTGTTATTTTTCAAATGCTTAAAGCCATCCAGTCATTCAAACATTGCAAAGTTAGGTTCAGGCTATACTATAAAACCATTTGTGAATAGTCAGTTATTTGGCATGGGGAAACTGTGCCCATTCATGAAAGAAACATTCCTGTTTCTCCATCAATGATGTTTCCATAAAACCCCAAAGGTTTTCAGTGTCTTACCGGTTTGTTTGGGAAACAGTTTTCATGAGCAATATTTATTCCCATCATAATGTAAAAGATGCAGGTAAGCACACGTAAAACTAAAATCTGAAGGGCACCATGATGTGAGTCTGTGCCTGTAGTTTTCCAAGGATTAGGTATGTTGTGTGTGTCACCGTTCATTTGGAATGCTGTGCCATTTTATTTCCAAATCTAGATTTTAATCTGCATTTTTCACACTGCTAAACTGGCAAAGTCACACAATATACAAGACTGTTGGTGTTCCTTTATCCAGGAAGCTGAGTGACTCAAAACCCCTTGCACACATTTTGGTTTCAGAGTGAGTTGTGAGAGACTTACCCATTGCGGTCTCCAAACACGTAACTTCCGTAGAGCCTTTCCGACTGGCAGCCTCGATAGACAAATCCTCCAACCAGGGATCCACTGCTGAATGGTTTGAATTCTAAAAGTGAAGGCTCACTTTCTAAAAAGGAACTACCATAGCATTAGATCATATGCAGTTTCATATTGATGTCACATTTATCAAAATGTTATTGCTTCAAGAAAAGAGGTTGATTCCATTTAAAGATTCCACAAAGTTCAAGTTGTGTTGCCAGAAATGAAACATTAAGAAAACAGGCAGAAAATTACCACAGAGTCTGTTTGTGAAACAATCCATTAGAGATTTCAATGGGAGAGGCTGTAATTGCTTTTTCCATGTGCACAAGCTGCGAGAATAAAACTAGGTAAGGATTAGTTTGGGCTTCCATTGAAACTGATCTGATTACTGCTCTTAATTGCTAGGTTGTCAATACAGTCTGCAGAATGGATCTCCTGAACTTCAGGAATACAATTAAACCCCCTTAACTGTGAAGTCCAGTATCTAAGGGCAGAAATTCCAGGGATTTAAAGCAGAACTTCTTTTCAAAGCCTTTCAGTGGTTTGAGAAACGCTTTCAAAATCACAGTTTTAAACATGGTATGTGTTACATCCCATCAAACACTAGTATTGCTGGCTGGAGCTTCTTGTGGTGATTTATTTTATGCTGTTGTAGTTGCAATTTCTATATTTTCTTTTTTTTCACAAGACCACAGAATTTAGTCCTATCAAATAATTCTTCAAGGCAGTTTCAGTGTACATGGTCCTATTCATGTGATCGCATACAGCTCAGGGCAAAAGCAGGCTCAATTTGACATGCTAACTGCATAATTTTAAAGAAAAGCCACAGCCAATAGACCATTTTATTTTACAGGAACTATTTTTTAGGCAGAGGGCTATCTGCAAGTCTTTGATCAATGCAGTTCCCAGATTATTCTACAAGAGCAAGGGCTCTTTTTATTGAAGCAATTGACCCACAGCCTAGTATTAATATTGGCAAGCTGTTCTGGATAGACACAATATTGCTTAGTTTACTCTGCAATAAAGATGCAGTCAAAATTCCATTGGAGCAGTGGTTAACCAAATATTATTCTTTGGTTTGGCTTTTGTAAAAGGGACACAGAAAATACATGCAATAACTACAGTAGCACAATTGCATTACACTATTGTGTACTGCTGTACTAGCCAGCACAGCTGCTTTGCTTTTATGTAAAGTACAGGTGGGAGAACTAGGGGTGTGAGTAAAACCAGAAAATGCTACATTCCAGGAGTTCACAGACTTATAGAATTTAGGGGTTGGAATGGACCTTACAGAACATCTAGTCCCAACCCCCTGCCCTGGGCAGGGACACCTCCTCACTAGATCAGGTTGCTCAAGGCTCATCCAACCTGGCTGTGAACACTGCCAGGGCTGGGACATCCACAGCCTCCCTGGGCAACCTGTGCCAGTGTCTCACCACTCTTGCAGTAAAAACCTAGATTTCCCTCCTTCAGTTTGAACTCATTACCCCTTGTTGCATCACTGTAGCTCCTAACACAGAGTCCCTCTCCAGCTCCTTTTACACACCATTGGCATCTCTCACATTTTACCATCATGAATTGACGAGCTGCTAAGTGGTCAGTAAAGGTAGATGATAGCTCAGAGTAACCTTCACCTTGCTTGCCTGAACTAGCAAGTGATCCAAGTGAGTATCCAAATTAAACATTACACTACAGTTGTGACTGACAATCATACTAATTCAGTGAGAACATGAAACACTTTCATTTTTTCAAGTCCCTAATTGAGTATATTTATCTTTTTGTAATCTAATCTAAACTAGTAATTTATTATGAAGTAGCAGCATAGTGCATTTTCCGAAGTTTCTTATTTTTAGCAACATTTAATCAGAGCTCAATCATTTCCCTGTTTGGTTGTGTTCTGTTGTTCTCTATCTCACTTTTTCCATGATAGGAGGCACATTACATGAGGTTTCCATTCTCTGTCTTAAAAGGTTATTTGGTAATAACTAAGAATACATTTTCATCACTTCCTAATATTCCAAAATCTTTTCTTTATGAGCTAATATATGCAGCAACAGTGAGATCTCTGACAGACTAGCAACTGGCATATGTGTTAAATCTTAGTTACATGATACTCTACACCAAGAATAAAACTGAGTCCTTTAAATTTTGGGGAGTTTGTCCATCGCTTATCCCCTTGTACCTTGAAGTTCTACCTCAAAAAGAAGATAGAAATTTTCATAAGTTCTGTCTTTGGTAGGTTATCTGTCCTATCTGTGCTATAAGTTTCCTATCACAAACATGAAGTCCTTTATCTGTTCTCTCCTGCTTCCTATATATTATTCAATGGGCATGTAAACTGTTCCCAGTAGCTTTACCCTGGATGGAACTTACCATAGTCTTTACCCTTTATTATTTGCAAGATTCTTGCTGAAGATCTGTTCTTTCCATTTGAATCTGAGCAAAGTATGGTTAGATTGATGTTTACATCTGTGGGGTGGCGATCCACAGCACACCTGTAAAACAACCAAAAAAGAGTAAAAATCCACAAAATGAGTCCATGACATACAATTATCAATAGTATGAAGCATCACATTTTAAAGATAGAATGTACACTGCTCTATAGCACCTGAAATGAATAGTACTTTAACCAAGCTAACTGCATTGACTTATATGGTGTAGGAATTTTGGACTGGTAAAAACTCCAAGAATCAACTCCTAATCTGAACAACTTGACTTTCTCATTTTTTCGGGCCATGACCTTAAATGTCACTTCAGCTCTACCACCCACCTAATTTGCTAAATGATGTGTTGTTTAGTTAAAGCATTGTTCTCCTCCTTGCTATTGTTTAGATATCACCAGATGTTCTCATTCCTTTTCCACGTGCCTTTTTCCCCCAAGTCAAGATTCACATCTCAGCTGTACTTTCCCATCTCTCTGCTTTAAGCTCTCTTCTTTCATTAATGTAATCATTTTATTATTCATTAAAAACAAAAATCCTTTACTTCTTTTCTGTCATTTTGGTCACTTGTAGTAGTTGAGCACACTCTTCTCTCTTCCCTTTGCCAATGTACATTTGTTTCTCACTGTGACTTATGTGTAGAGGTGGAGGAGTGGAAGATTAAAAAAGTTCATGAGTGCCTTCAGTATTAAAATGTTGTTATCTGACTGTATAAAATATTTCTGGTTGAAAACAATATCTGCTGCAGAGTAATTCAGTTGAATGGAAGCTTACTTACCGGCCTGGGTTGTGGAGTCCGTGTGCAAAAATCTCAGGAGGTTGGTTTGTGCTATTAAAATGTGGATTGCTCCGTGGTATGGAATAAGGGACATTGCACAGGTCAGTATTGACATCAAGGCGCAATACAGAACCTGTAAAATCACTAAGAAAGTTGGAGGGTAAAATAATTGGTATTTTTAAAGTATTTTACTGGTGTATTTAATCCATATAATACTATAGAGAGCCAGCAAAATAAACCACTCACTTCACTGATTAATCACAGATAGATTGACTTTGTGGTATGTGCAATTTCAAAGAGTAGTAGAAGAACCTATCAAAGATTCAGTTTGGCCAATGTGTTGCCTTGTTATGTGCATATTAGAATGCCTCTGTTGGGAAGCAACTTGATCATAAGAACAACTTTCCAAATATCAACATTGTTTTATGGCTTCAAACATAAGGATATTAACTCTTTTGTACTCTTAGAGAAGACATAGACATAGACATAGAATCAGCCAGGTTGGAAAAGACCCCCAAGATCATCGAGTCCAACCCTACCATGGTTACTAGACCATGGCACTAAGTGCCACATCCAGTCTCACCGAATCCACCGCCTCCCTGGGCAGCACATTCCAATGTCTGATCACTCTCTCTGTAAAAAATCTCTTCCTAATCTCCAACCTAACCCGCCCCTGGCAGAGCTTGAGTCTGTGCCCTCTTGTCCTGCTGCTGGTTGCCTGGGAGAAGAGACCAACCCCCACCTGACTCCAACCTCCTGTCAGGGAGTTGCAGAGGGTGAGAAGGTCTCCCCTGAGCCTCCTCTTCTCCAGGCTGAACACCCCCAGCTCCCTCAGCCTCTCCTCATGCCACTTGTGCTCCAGTCCCCTCACCAGCCTCGTTGCTATTCTCTGGACCTGCTCCAGCACCTCAATGTCCCTCCTGAGCAGAGGGGCCCAGAACTGAGTGCAGGATTCAAGGTGTGGCCTCACCAGCAATGAGTACAGGGGAAGAATCACTTCCCTGGTCCTGCTGACCACACTGTTCCTGATCCAGACCTCTAGAGTTACTATGGACATTATCACTTTGTAGTAACATAGATCTTTTTGCTAACACTTTAAATCCCACTCTTGCATTCAATGATTTCTAGTCACAGTCCAATCCAAAGTTTAATTATATAGAAAGAAAGGTCCAATCCAAAGTTTAATTATATAGAAATAGATAAAAAGAAAGAAAAAAGCAGGAAATAAATCATATTGTTCGAATGGAGATGTATTTTTCTGTAAGGATTCAGAACCTTCTTGTTATATGACACAGGAGAGAGTAAAATGTTCTTCTACCTTAGGTTCGTGATTGTGATGGAGGAAAGAAGTTGGAGTACAAGAGCATCAAAATTCTTTTTATAAACATGAAAAGATGCGATATTTAAATTGATCCCTTTCTATCTCTCTTCATCATTAAACTGTTTCAATCTCCCCTTGTTTTACATTAGTTTAAAGCCAAGTATTAGAATTGCCCTCTAGTCTGGTTTTAAATATATCCTTATACTTAAAAACTACTTGAAAATCACAGGAGCACCTGCAATTCTACTGAGCCAGAGAGGCCTCTGAGCACAGCAACTCCTTTTTAGGTCTGTTAAGACTCATTACAACACTGTCTCTAAATTAAGACAAATTTTGCAACTCTAACAGAGCATAATGAAACAGAGAAAAATAGCAGGTTGAGAAAATCCTAGAGGTAGAATCAAAGTAGGATTTCTTGATATGTTCTCTAGACATTTTCCATAAGTGATGCATTGTTGTTATTGATTCTGGTATGTGTTTGTAGACACTTTTTCAAATGTTTGCTCAATATGGTTGTCTTGTTGATAGAATAATAGGTTGAAAAACAGAAGCCAAACCTGTGCTTAAATAAAATTGCATCTCCTGCTGAGGACTCCAATATTAAATGGTTTGATAGCACAGAGCTACAAGATGTATTTAAGCAATCAAACTGTTCTGAAAATCAGCAGTTTGCTAAAACCCAGGCACTGAAAATAGTAGGATTATGTAGTAAAGGAAGAAGGAGTAAGATTTGTTCTGACAAGTGCTGATCACTTTGGATTCTGACCCCAAATAATGTGCAAAACCAGAAGACAATAATAGAAGTCTATCCACTGATAATTTTTGTACCTTAAACCATCCATCTCCTCCATGTCATCTAGAGTGATCATGCCATCTCCAAGAAAAATGTATAGGAAACCATCTGGGCCAAAGAGAAGTTGTCCTCCTAGATGCTTTCGATGTAGTTCTGCTACTTCTAAAAACACTCTTGCTGTTCTCATATCAACTTGGTGTGGATTTTTCCTGTAAGATAAAGGCATGAACACAGTTTTCACAGTTCACTATCATTGTTCTTCTCTGCTTTCTAGAAATAAACTTGACTCCATCAAATTATACTTTGAGATATGGATGTTGTAACTTGGTGGCAAAATGTCAAACAGTTATTTCTGAGAAATTTCAATTTTCCAGCATTCACAAAAAGTTATTTTGCCACCTATGCACAATAAGTAGGAAATAATTATAATTTAAAAATGACAGAATGACTAAAAAAAAAGTCTTAAAAGGAAAAAAAAAACCACTGTACTTACTGGCATTCCAAAACTACTGTTTGAAATAAAATCAGCAATAGTTTTTTCTGCAAGTGCCCAAGTATATACATTGCAAACTTCACAGTTCATTTTAGAAATGGGAAATATTGAAATGCAAAGGTTGCTGAGAAATAGAGAATTTGTGAATTTTAGACTTCTACTGATACCTGGATACTGTGTATTCTACGACCCTCAGGATGTGGTCATGAGGTCCGATAGCCCACCGCTCTTGGTTGGTGGTATAAGACACATACAGCTTTCCATTTTTCTTGTAATTGGGATGGAATGCAAGGCTTAACAGTCCTCTTTCATCTCCTCCCTGCAGTCAAATGAAAAACACAAAGAATTGTGAAGTTAATTATGTTCTTTATTGTGTTTCAGCTGGAACCCAAAAAAAAAAAAAGTTTTCTTTCTTGTGGATAATCTTTGCCCAAACTCTTTTATTTCTTTCCTGACTACTGCACAAAAAGGATTATAAAACATTTCACTTTGGGGAAGTCTTTAAGAGTTAGAACAAGACAATTGCCTTATGTAGTTATCTATGCACAAGTCTGTTACGCCACTTTTGTGGAGTGATTTGTGTATGTAATCTTTGGGAAGCCATGAAGACAAGTTTAAGTGCTGTGAAGGATTCTTTGCTGGGTTACTAGGTTGCTTGTAATTCGTAGAAGACGAATAAAAAGGTCTATAATCAGCAGTCACTTCTAATCCAAGTATCCAAAACCTAAAACACAGTGCTGGCTGCCAACTCCCACTGTCTTGGCAATATGTTTAGAAAACAGTTAAATTGCTTGTGTAATATGTAAACCTTTGTTTTACCCTGGAGGCAGCAACATCAGTTGTCACAACTATGGTGGTCTGTTCATCATAGCTGGTGTACTGTAGGTAATAAGCAGCCTTGGTCTCTGTGCAGAGAAGCCATAGTTTTACATGTGGTCCCTCACTGGAAAGGTCTTTGTTATTTTTGAAAATAAAAATAGAAAAATCTCAGAACAACTTTCTTTTGTTATTACGTTTGCCATAAAGATTAGTGCAGTTCTATGTTAAGCATCCAATCCATGTAATGCACTGTGACAATGCAGAGACCCTGTGGACTTAAATAGAAGGCAATTTTCTTTTTGGCTTCTAAAAATGTATCTAATATTACTATGCCTAAAATTGGTTTTGTATAACTGAAGACTAAGACTTAGATTCATTTGTTGCTCTTGAGGTAATGCAGGGAAGAGAAGCTGAAGCACAGAAATAAACACAGTACATAATTAGCAATTCAAATTCAATTCATATAGCTGATTATTCACCAGGTGATAGCTGGTTTGGAGTTTAACTGAAGGTTTGCCACCCCTTCAAAACGAGTAACTGCTGTAGATTTAAGTGCTCCAGCTCTGCACCCATAAGGAGACAACGTGTTGCAACTCTAAACACACCCATGATAACTAATTATGAAACGGTAAATTAGAAGAGAGAACGAAGCTCTTAAAATGTATTTGCACTTCAGAGTGATGGATGGGCCTGTCTTCCTGTTTAAAGTCATCCCACAAAAGGCCTAATTGGGAAAGTGCACAGCTTTAATTTATTTTAATTCAACATGATTGCTGTACTTCCTTTTTAATCACAACCACCAAAGAGAAACCTGAGTCAGAAACGGAGATGTAAATAGGTCAAGAGATTTCCATACCAACAGATCTGTACCATGAAATCTGGATCCTGCTAATTTAGAGGCAGCCAAAATTTGCTAGTTTGTTTGCTAGAAAAATTGAATTTCAGGGGGTTATCAGGGAGGTTAGTTTGGAAAAGTCTAGTTAGAGCTGCCAAATCAGTTGCAGTCATCATGGATGAAGGAAGGCACTGGTAATCTAGCTCTTTCTCCTTTACGAGCCAAAAATAATTCTGCAGCTGAGTCTGAGCTGATTGTAGATATTATTGTTTGAGTTTCTAAGAGTTTTGACCAAGTTGCTGTGATAAAGTCTGAAGCAAAGGGAGGCAAACCAGTTGCTTTGGGAACAGTAAGGCATATTTCAAAGATTCCTGACGAATGATTCTATCTGTTGTGCCCAGACAAAGACAGTCCTATTTCTTCTCCTGAGAGATGAGTTCAGCTCATTTAAGGGCCCAGGAATGTCAGTGAGTCACACTAGGTCTGCCGTGCAAGGTGAGTTATTGAAAGTGTTAGAAAAGGTCTTTCTGTTACTAAGCTGAAGATTTTGGTTAGCTCTTGGTGCCGCAGCAGCCATCGCAGTGGGAGAGTGAGGTTGTTGAAAATTAAATTAAGAACTTTTACTGAAGTACACATGAAGCAAACATTTGAAAAAGGAATGAGCACAGGACCTGCAAGGTGGTAACTATGGCAAGTTGTATTCATAGGATCAGGCCACGATTTCTGCTCATTGCTGTCGCGTGGTTCTGTCCCACTGCATGTATTACTTTGTAGAATGTACCTATTGCTCCCTAAAAAGTCACACTGCTGTTTTTCAAACTCAGACAGGCACAGTTTGTTCTAAAAAGAGTTTTTACTCCTACATTTAATACAAACTTTGGAAATATCCCTCTGAGATACTGAAATCAGTGCGGCATCAAGCCATTAGTTGGCTGATGGTCAACTAGAAATCCAGCTGAGTTTTTCCATATTTATTTTTTCTGGTTTGGGGAACTAATTGTTCATGTGTACTTTCAGCTTTATCACTAACTGGCAAAATCACTGCCCCAACTTCCATAGCTTCCACAGCCAGAAAGTACATATAGTTTTCTGTAGCATTGTCTCTTATGTTGTGGGGTAAATGAGAGATATCCAGCAAGATCCCCTAGGAGAAGTCATTCTGGTACTATCAAACTGAATAATTATGTGCAAAGCTTCAGATTTTTTCTTTTTTTTTTACTATTTTTTATCAAGAGGTTGGTCTCTGCTCCCAGGCAACCAGCAGCAGGACAAGAGGGCACAGACTCAAGCTCTGCCAGGGGAGGGTTAGGTTGGATATTAGGAAGAGATTTTTTACAGGGAGAGTGCTCAGACATTGGAATGTGCTGCCCAAGGAGGTGGTGGATTCACCATCCCTGGAGGTTTTCAAGCTGAGACTGGATGTGGCACTTAGTGCCATGGTCTAGTGACCATGGTAGGGTTGGACTTGATGATCTTGGAGGTCTTTTCCAACCCAGTTGATCCTATGATTCTATGATTCTATAGTCTTTCCTGTAGATGCCAACTGTCAAATATCTGTACCCTTTTCTTGGCAGCTTAGGAACTTACTGACAGCCTTTTCTTTTACAGTTTCCCTTCAGATGCAACCACGAAGCTGTAGATGACATAGTAGCTTGTATGAGATTCTGCACTACACTATTTGATGGAATAACCATTAATATTTGTCAGTTGTATAAGGAAGGGCAAGAAGAATGAGTCAAATCTTTGTATTCCGTTGGGATGTCTATTGAAGACAAGGAATGATGGTTGGCTGAAATGAGTATTAATTACTTAAACATACTGTGGACTGGGGCCAATGTGAAATTTCTGTCGTAGCTCAATCTGGAAGCTCACACTGTTGTCTGCCTATGCTGCTCTTTAGCTTGTGCATGTTTTGCACCAGTTCTATACTTACTTCAAACCGGATTTCCTTGGGCCAGATGATAAGTTTCAGCTAAGGAACTCTGGGAAAGGATCTTTAAACCCCAGTTTGGTGTAGTTTAGGACCACAATCACAAAATTAATTTCATCAGAATTCTGTTAAGTTAGTACAAAGCCAAGTAAAGATGAATTGCAGGTGATAAACAAAGTGTTTCTTTACTTTTCAGTTCGAAACTGTTGGTTAGCTACATTATGTTGATTCTGAAAGTCTATGACTCCAGTAAGTGTTCTCAGCTGAAGAATATTTTTGGTATTTCTTTTTACATGGTAATTCCTGTTATATTTACACTTGTAAAAATCTTAAGTGCACAACATAATCCACTTTGTATCTTAACTTAGATCAAGAGAAATAATTGTTGCTCATAAATACTGAATTTTTATGGAGAGGTGCAATTTTCATGTAGCCACTCTGTAGAAGTTAGCTCTGCTTTCAATCTCTGTGCTCCCAACTGTACTCTGGTTTATCTCTGATATTACAGACATAAGTTTGGTTATATTATTAAGGTATTATACTTTTTCTATAATACAGACACACATGCTGCAGTTGTTTTTCAGACATGCTTCCAATTAATTATGCCAATATATTGTTATTACCTGTAGGAAATACAAAGAAATACAGAGCAATGCTTTAACTATTTCATTTAAAATAGATCAGATTGTAAATATGACCCTTAATTACAGTACCTTAGTAGTAATTAATGTTAGTAAGCAAAACCAGACATGACTATTTTTTCCATTACTGTGTGCCTTAATAGTAAATAATGTAGGTACCATATTCCAAGTTTTCCTTAAAATTGATTTCACAATTCACTTACTTATATGATACTTATAAACTAATGGTATTTATACTTAACAGCTTTTTCATCTGGACAATCCCACTCGCATGGTGGGAAGGAGTAGCAACGTTTTGTAAAAGGTGCTTAAAATATGCACGTTCATAAAATCATAGAATTTAAGGGTTGGAATGACCTTACAGGTCATCCAGTCCCAACCCCCTGCCCTGGGCAGGGACACCTCCTCACTAGATCAGTTTGCTCAAGGCTCATCCAACCTGGCTGTGAACACTGCCAGGGTTGGGGCAGCCACAGCCTCCCTGGGCAACCTGGGACAGTGTCTCACCAACATTCAACAGTAACTTGATATTTTAACTCTAATGTAATGTCTTTATATCATTTGTTCTCATCTATTATTATAGGACAAATGCTGACTAACTTGTCGAAGTAGTATGATCACCCTTAATTTAGTTTAATTCCTCTATAATAAATAGCAAAACCAATATGCATTACTGTGTGTTCAATCTTCAGGAAGATTCAGTAGGGTTGAGGATCAGTGTCTGGTATTGTTTTCAGTGGGAAGCATTTCCTTAATCAACATATTTTAGAAATTTGGCCTCAGCACAGGCTAGAAACTTGACTAGAGCAGAAATCAAAGCCTGTAAAAGGTCAGCTGCAGGGCACACCTTGCCTTTCAAAGCTGCATCACCTGTTTGGAGAGGCACAGGAGGGAAGTGCCCCTGACTGGGGAAAGGGAGCAACAAAACCAGACTGAGAGAGACAGAAGTTGATCGGGCTGCAGGTTAGGTTATAGGAGCAGAGCTCCTGTTAGATCTCTTGGGTGTTGAGAGCTCAAGTGCTTTGCTGTCTGTGGGGCCTGAGGCCTCTGGCAAGGGAAGAATTTGTAACATAAGACATTTACCTTAGGGAAAA